CCTGTCCCGAACTTGCAAACACCGCATCAAGCTGGGTGATTCTGGGAATTACTACTACATCTCTCCATCCTGCAGGGCCAGGGTGAGTCCTTTAGCTTTTCAAGGTGCATCTTCAGTGCTCATTCTAGAAAGCAAAATAGATTAACCCCTGGGACAACTTCAAGGAAATTAGCAGAGAGGTAGCAGGGCTGAATTTTGCTCATGGGGCTGGGCTTGTTGCTCAGTCAGTTTATGTAGAATGCTGCTCCTCAGCTTTTGTTTTTTTTTTTGCTATCCAGTGGCTAGGATTGTGTCACTCAGCTAAGGTAACAGCAGATTTCAAAATGTGTCCTCAGTTTATTCTTCCCCATGATTTGATCCTTCACGATACTTGGGTTTGCTTTGTTGCACACTATAATTTGCTTCAGTCTCAATGCCAGCTTCCAATGGAGAGCAGTGACTAAGACTTATAAAAACAGACTCTCCTTTTGCTTGGAGGGCATGGAAAAGGTGAATTGTTGTTTTGGCCCTGATTCAAGAAAACAGTTAAACAAATACTTAATGGTCAGTCCTAGTCGGCAATGCACTGAAGACGCTCCAGGTTCAGCATGGGCTTAAGTGTCTGGTTGAATAGGACATAAAGGAGCCAATCATTTACCAGACCAGTCACCTCTGTCTGCTTGGGAATATTTATGGCAAAGTTCAAACTGTTTCACTTGAACAAAAAACCCCAGCACTTGTTTCTGGACTGCATTTGTTTCCCAGGAAAGAAGTTCACCTGTTTTGAAACTTCTTTTCAATAAAAAACAGTTGTTGCTTTCAGCCATGGCCCAGTCTGAATTTTCACAGAGTTCAAATATTCTGAGTCTCAAACTATTGTAGGACAGAATTGTACCTTCAGATATTTTAGTGAAGTTTTGCCATTCTTCTCATCTATGGGTTCCCCCTACCCTGTATGCGTCTCAACCCTCTTTGTGTCTCAGCATGAATTTCTGGTATTTCATTATGCACAAATCCATTCAAATTCTACCTCCCTTCTATCTCCCATTCCCTCCTTAACATACACAGAACTTCTAAGCCTCCCTGCATCCCTAATTCTCAAAGCACTATGGTGGTATTGCAGATGATGAGACAGGTTTAGTGGGGTCCTTTAGTGAATCGGCAGTGGCGACATTAGATCCCTTATTTTTCAGTCACTGTCTAACACTGAATCTACTGCCTCATGTTGCCTGCCTGATATAACTTTTTTTCTTGCGGGGTACACTCCTGTGTGTCAACCCTAGTTCCACCAAAGGCCACCGCCACAGTGGTACAGAATTCCAGCTGCTCCCATTGGCTTCAGTTCGTATAGCACATGCTTTGCACTTCTGCAAATCAGCCATGCGTATATACAAGCCGAGAAGTGAGGGTGTTCAGCAGCAAGGCCGAGGTCCTCAGATGCCAGTAAATCTGCATTTACTTTGATGACCTGCGCCATCCTGTGCTGTGTCGGAGGCTGTTTTCAAAGGAGTTTTTCTCTCTTGCAGATCACAGCGGTGTGCAATTTCTTCACTTATATTCGCTATATCCAACAGGGCTTGGTGAGACAGGACGGTAAGAGACTGACTTGAGTGCACCCTCACAACAGAGGGTGTGGGGCGGTTGCCCCCTGTTGGTTGTTGGCAGCTATGGCAAGGGCTCTTCAGTGCACCACGGGGATGGGATGGGCCAGGGCAGGCCTGCCCTCTTTCATTCAGAGAGAGTTTAATGGAGGGTGAGAGAGGGCAAGAGGGGTTAGTTTGTCTTCTGGAAGGATGCAAGGGTCCAATCTGCCTGGACTGGAGAGGGTACGGAAAGAGTTGAGAGAGTAGCAAGAGGAGGAAGGAAAAAGGCTACTGGAGGGGAAGAGAAGTAAGGGAGAGAGCGGGGAAGAAGAAGAAGAAAGAAGTGTGGAGGGGGGGGATCCTGTCTTACCCCATGGTCTGCACATCCCCATGCTTTAGGGAGCTGTGCTTTAGTGCTGCCTGGCCAAGCAGTAAGGCCCTGCTCCTGTGATTTGCTCCAGTGCATACAGGCTGTCTTTAAGCGACATCATTCCCCCTGGGCCCACTGTTCTGGAAGGGAATGGGTGGGGGTGGATGACTCACAAGGTATTTCACTAACCCTTCCACCCCTTTTCTTTGCAGTGGAACTGATGTATTGGGAAATCATGCGGCTTAGGCGGGAGATGTCCATGGCCAAGCTGGGCTTCTACCCCAACGAGATGTAGGCCAGGACGCAGGGGCCAGAGGGAGTTGCACTTGCATTAAGGGCATGTGCTCTACCACACAGACCCGCTGACACAGTATGCCTACACCAGCATGGCTCCCTTCCTTTTCTCCCCTGCTGGGAGTGAACCACAGAGTGAGAAGCGCAAGTTACCCCTCCAAAGGCTTCGCTGCTGTTCAGCCAGTGACTGGAATGTGGACACCCCCGGAGCTGGGCAGGTCCTTGGTGCTCTGGGGTGAGGCCACCTCTGGCCTCTGCCCATCATGAACTCTCTTTCTCCCTCCCTCTATGCAGCCTGTAGCCAGTTTTTAAAATTTTATACACAGTCTGCTTCTGTGGGTTCCCTGGCCCTTGCCCCCTGTATGACAGGTCCTGGGGCTCCCATATTTTGCCAGTGGGTCCTCTTCCAGCACAGAACAAGAGCTAGAGGGGATCTTGCCCCCATCCATCCTTCTGCCTGAGAGATGCATCTGCTACAGCCCAGCTGTGTGCCCAGCCCTGGCTGATGTCCCCTGCAAATGCCAGCACCACACAATAACCTCAGTGAGAGCCATGAAAAGCATGTTTTTCTAGTGCTTCCCTGCTCCTCAGTAAGAAGCCTGCAAGAGTTGCTTTTCATTGGCTGAGTCACAAAGAGGGTTTTGTTTCTGTTTTTAGCTCAGGATTTGGCATTTGGTGTTGTAATCCATCATTGAGCAGGCGTGGGCGGGGGGGAAGTGTTGAGTCGCAGCCTAGACCCAAGCTCAGTGCCTGGAGGCTCAGTCATAATGCAGAAGGGGAAATTGCATAACAGAGAGCTGACCACAGCTATGCTGAGGTCAACTGAATTGGGCTGCATGCATCGCCTTGGCATTTCTTGCTGGAACAGCTGTGCTTTGTGGTGGTCCCTGCAGGTAGCAGCAAACCCTGCTGGGCCCCTCTGTTGCTCTGCTCTGGGCCACTCTCCTGCCCCATAAACCACCCCCAGCTGTGGGCAGGTGCCTTCCACCCATTCCTGTTCTAGGCAGTGGCTACAGACATATACCTTCCTGCTCTTCCATAATAAACCCCAGATGCCCCCTCTCTACAGAACCCAATTCAGGCAGTTCCCTGCTCAGTGGCCAGCTGCAACTGCTAGCCCCAGATATTTGCTGCTGCCGTACTCCATTATGCAGCACAAGACCAGAAGGAAGTACTGGATCACCTCATTTGGCCTTGAGTATAACCCAGGCCATAGATGTTACCTCTGTAGTAGATCCAATACTCTCCCATGCTCTCTCAGTTAGCTCTCAGCTAGTTACACTACTGCATGTGCCTATGCGAGACATCCTACCCCACAGACCCCACTGAATATATGTAATGGCACTGGGAAGAGGATCCAAAGCTCTTTGAAATCCTCATAGCTCTGGATTAGGCCTTGCCTTGCCTTCAACTGAGACTTTACAGAACCTCATAAAGCTACAATCCTTGCCTTAGGGCCCACTGTAATCGAGCTAGTAACTTCACCTGCTGTTTGGTCATCTCAGCTGCTGTCTTGCAGTGCTACATCTCTTGCAGCAGTGCTGGGCCCTATCTTTCTGGAATGCAACTTTAATGGTACTGACAGAGCGGTGACTTGGCCCAGTGCTGCCTGGACCTGGATCATCTCAGCAGACTCTGTTGTGTCACCTCCTCTCCTAGGAGGAGCTTCTACAAAAATTGCCATTGGAAAAAATCTAAAGGAAAAGCATCTGAGTGAACCACCTTGGGTTTGCCCTTGGAGGGGGAGAGGGGATGGAGCCATGATGGTGGAACCTAGTGGCCGCAGAATTTTTGTGCGCCTTGGAGCATGCCTCATTGCATGAGAACCCCTGAGGTTTACAGGGTGAAATTCTCTCCTACACGGTGCAGATGCTGGCTGCACCTGCTGCTTTGCTGCCCAGTGGGGTTTTCTTCCTTACAGCAGTGGTTGTACATAGTACCGCTTGCGTGCAGAGGGCAAATTAATATCTGAAATGCGAGCCCTCTCCAGGGGTGCAGCTGGGGAAACATGTTACTGGAAATGCTCCCTATAGGAATTGCTTCTTCCTGCTTAGAACAGGGCTGGCTTGAAATGCAAGCAGTGCTAGCACCTGGTTGTCACCCTAGGATTCTCCTTCCCTAGCCCCATGCAGCAGGAGTGCAAAGCCTCGTTCCTTTTCCTGCTTTCCAGCAACTGGGTACCCTATAATTCTATGGCTGATCCTGGCTGAAAAAATGAGCGGCTGTTTCCTCCAAATATGTTTACACTGTGGAGTACAGACTCAGAGGCTGTATGGCTGGGGAAATTTAGGCTGGAGGCCAGATTTTTGAGCTGGTGTGAGTCAGCATCTCTCTGACTCCAGCCGAGCTGTGTAGGTTGATGTCAGCTGAAGATCTGGCCTTGGATTTTTCCAAAGGGAAAGCTGGGAGCACCTTCCCCAGTTGCAGATTTTCACCTCAGGTAAATCCTTTCCCTTACAGCTCCTGTTGGGTCCATTTTTCTCCTTTACCTCCTGCCCTCGATTGCTATATAATATTGCTGTGCACTATTATCAGCTGCCATGTTCCACCCTTGAGGTCGCTGCATTTCAACGGTGGGTGAGATGATCCCTCTGTGTGGTTTTTCTTATCAATTTGTAAGGCACTTTGGGATGAAAGGAGTTAGATGAATGCAAAGTGGTGTTGTTTTATACACTCTTAAATGTAATACAGTTTGTTAGTTATTCTGAAGTCACTCCATTTAAACAGCAGCATGGCTGCACCCTGCTCTTTATAAAAGGAAAATAAACATTTGCTATTAGTCTTCCCAAAGCAATAATCACAATTCCAGACTTGGATTGGCCACATCATGTGGGGAAAGGGGAGAAGTTTATTGGCTAAAAAGTGGTTGGTGGATGTTTGTTGGATTCAGTGTGGTCTGTGATCAGACAGTATGATGGGGAGGTCCTAATGGATTGGCTCCCTGTACACATCCTGGCTTTCATACTCTTTTAAAGCTTCTGCTGCTTGCCACTGCTGGCTGCATGGAGCTTTGGTCTCCCCTCACCCCCTATTTTAAGGGAAAACAGGTCTGGCACCCCTGCTGAATATATCCTTAGTTCACTGTTCACTTTGGACACTTGGAATGCTTAAAACAGGAGGTGCCATTGCAGTACTTGAGAAGTAAGCAGAGCACAGAAGAAACCAATATTGCATTGGCAAAAGGAGACCCCATCATACTGCTGCAGGAAATGAACAGTAATAGTTGAGTAGCTATCTTAGGAGAATGTGCAGCTTTGTTTCCTTTTAGTGGCTGAAATGCACAGGATGGTTTTGAGTCAGCTGCATCCTCTCATCAACAGTATCAGCCATTTAGCTTGCAGGATGCCTACTCAGGCTTTAGTGGTGAAGGATGCTGTTGGCTGCAAGGGAGTTGGTTGCTTGTGGTACTTCAAGTGGAAAATGCTCTGTTCTGGTGACTCCCATCCTGAGTATTGTTCATGCCACATGCCCCTTCTGGAGTTTTGAAGGAGCATGGCAAGTAAAATGTGAGCAGGATGCTGGGGGAGGTCAATGTAAGAAGAAATGTGTTACCCCAGAGGTTGTGCTCTGCTGCAGGGTGGGTGGGGGTGCAGTCCTCCCATAGGAAATGGGCCACCTTCGAGTTTAGACTATGTCCTGGAGGCTCTATGTCTGACTTGCCAGTCTTGGTGCCTTATGTCCGGGGTTTCTAAGGAACAGTTTTATTTAATCGGCTGTGGAGCCTGCTTAATGCTTCTGACAGCCAAACACCTCTTGCCTTTGGCAGGAGCAGGAGAGGTCCTGTGGTCTGGGCTATAACAGCCAGTGCCCCTTCATCTGCACATGGCCCTTCCTGCTGGGAAGCTTCAGCACCATGGGACTGGAGTGTGAAGAAGCCAAGCCTCTGCTGCTGATTAAGGCAGTGAGAAGCTCATAGCTTGGTGTTGGGGGTGGAGGCAGGAGATTGGGAACCAGAGTCCAATGTGATAATGGTGCCATAGTCAGTGGCATAATGGGGTGGGGGCGATAGGGATAACCACTCCAGGCACTGACTTCTGTTTTTGTCTGTGGAGGGGTGAGGGGAAAATGAAAAAAGGTGGCAGCTGCTAGCAGCAACACATTTGCATTCACAATCACAGTGGCAAGCAGAAGTGGCTGCTTCTGTTTTGGTCCAGGCACCTGGCTGATGCTGCTGGCTATAATCCCTCTGTGCTTGTCCCAAGAAAGGAAAGGCCTCTCTTGCTCTGTGACATGACCTGTGCATCTTTGTTGTTGTAGGACCTGAGCTGAGATTCTTTGGTGTTTAATCATTGGGAACCCCTTTCATCAAGGCCCAGCGCCCCCGACACCTGTTTGCAAGGTTCTGCCTGCAGTGCTGCTTGCTGTGGGCTGGCTCCTCTAGAGACCTATTAGGAGACTTCCTTCTTCTCCTTCTCCCCCTCTCCCCCCAGTTTTCCTAGTCATACCAATGCTTCTAACATCCTGTGTCAGTTGGGAACAGGACTGGAAGGGGCCTTCTAGGCTGTCAAATCCAAGCACCTGTGTTCACAGGCACTCATTACTCAAGGGTATTCCCTGCCCCCACCAATGGCCACTTCATGCCCTTGCCCACAACTGCCAAGAACAAAATCTGCTACAACAAAAACACTATAAAATGCTATAGGCAATAGCAGGGAGAAAGCTGCCAGTGCCCTACCACTGCAACAAGGGGGAAATAGATAGTTAATAGATGCTCAGAAGATGCTGGGTCATGCCCTGTGTTAGAAGAAGGCACAACTCCCCACACTGTAATGAGGGGAAAACATTTCTTGCCCCCAAATTGGGCAGTTGGTTCAGTGATCAATTGGTGTGGTGGGAGTAGGGTCTTTTGTAGACACAGCAGGGATGCTGTGGTGCACTCTTTAAGAGTGGGGAACCTAGCCTGCAACCCAGTGGGTTCCTAGAATCCTAGCTAATCTTGCTAGCATCCTTCTCTCCTTACTGGGATTTTAATGATGAGATCTCCTGATAGTGGGTAAACTTTATTCTTGGGAGGAGGGCTGTCTCTCTTCTGTGCTATTTTATTCCTCCCAAGCCTGTTTCCATTGCAGCCACAACATCAGCATTCCCTTCTCCATACAGAGTTGCTCCTGGTTCACTCTCCCTGCTGAGGCAGGATTAGCCTGAAAGATGAAGTGACTGAGCCTCCCACAGGACTGGTGGACTGTGCCAAGTGAGAGCATTAAACTCCCCACTGAGGTCAGGATTACCCAGCCTTGAGGGTTTAATTGGATCAATGAGGAGGTCATTGGAGGAAGAGATCATCCAGGCTCTAGCTGGACATTTAGTGCTGTGCTCCAGCACATAAGGAAATCATCACCCATAACCAGTAACAGACAGTGTGTGTATGTGTTGGGGGGTCAGTGTAGCCTAGGCTGAGGTTGGCCTGAGCCTACTGCCAGCTAGGTTTGCTCTCAGCATTGCCTTGGACCAGTGGTTCTCAACCTTTGTAGCCTCAAGGCACATCTCATCAGACTTGAGGCACCCCTCTATAACTTTTGTGAATTGAGTAGTGCCCCATTTCAAAATCTAATTCATTACAGTACTTACCTCCTTTCAGAGAGGCTAGGCAGTGTTGATAGGCTGATAGTTGAGTCTGCCCCTATCTGCTTATCTCCTCACCCTTCCTTCAGCACCCTGGAAAGGATCTCCCAGTACCTCAGGATGCCCTGGCAACCTGGTTGAGAATCACAGCTCTTGTCTCCTACCCTTCCCTAGTGGCATTGGTGCCAGTTACTATTGTGGGGACAGGGTAAGGTGAGTGTCTGCCTCAGCACATGGCACAGGGGCCTATTGTGCCAGGGCTCTTTTTTCATGGGGGTCTGTGCTTGGGTTGGGGTCCTTTTGTGCCAACTGGCTTGAAGCAAGGGGGGTCTGGGGTCATAGAACCATAGAGAAGCAGGGCTGGAAGTGACCTTCAGAGGTCAACTAGTCCAGCCTCCTGCCTGAGGCAGGATCATGCCTATCCAAACCATCCTATGGGTGATCCTAATGCAGATCATACAATAGAGAGTCCAGGGGATTCAGTAGGCACCTTGAGTCTAATTATATTTACTGTTACAGCTACAGGGGTCTTATACTATAGGACTTAAGTAGTGTTGTAGGGAGCAACTGAGGCCAGAATTTATCCTTACGATCCTAGTACAGAGCAGATCCCAGCTCACTTGAGCACCTGAGCTCACTTGAGCTGGTGCTGGGAGTGATGGTGGGTTTCATGGATACGTTAATCCTGTATGCAGCCACTCAGTGCCAATACTAGATATAACGGGGCTATGGAGATGTCTTGCCTCCTGGCCAAATTCCAAACTGGAATCTCATTTCTGCCTTTCCAAATTCCCGCCAGTGTTTTTGTTGGATGGGATATTGCTCATGCCACAAACTAGTACTTGGTGTTGCTGTGCGCTGTTGAACAGCTCATACGTGCTGCACTAGTGACAGAAATATTTCCATAGTTGTAGCAAGGGCCAGGCCCCAGGGTGTCCATAATGCCCCCTGGTGGCCATGCAGCTCCTGTTCTACCCTGGCTCAGAGGATACCCTCCCCTTCTGCCTGCCTGCCATGCCTTGATGTAAATATTTACTCGGAAAAGAGAAGCTGCCCAGGGGTCCCAGTGAGAGCCCTCACACACTAACAGGCTGCGCTGTACTACACTAATTGCCTGAAGGGCAAGTTTCATAGCCTCCAACCTCCCCTATAGTGACACCCATGCCTTACAGATGTTGCTGTCCAATCAATCAGTCTTGTTGGGGCCTTGGCCTTTTCATTCACTGCCCCCTTTCTCTCGCTGAGCCACCTAGCCAAGGTCCACTGTGCTGGACCTTGCTTCTGGGCTCCAGCTCTTTTCTCACCCTGATCTGTGCTGGGCCTTCCAGCCCTGCCTCCACTCTGCTCTGTTCTTGGGGCTCTCTGACCCCGTCTCTGTCCTCTCACATCTATGGGCCCCTGGCCCTGGTTTATGTCCCTCTTGGGCTTGTGTTCCTGCCCTCTTGGCTTCAAGCATGCTATTGCCTGCTTGAGTCCTGTGTACCACCCCTGGCAGGGTTGCAGACCTCACATACCTCTCAGGCACTAAATTGCTGTGCACCCCTCGGGAATCCCCTTGCTGCCTTCTCATCACCCCCTTGCTAGCCATGAATGATCCACAAGTTTAAACTTAAATAGAAACATAAGCACACCAGCTACAATCAAACTCTAAGCCTGCTGGCTGTAACCCAATTTTAAGCCTACCAGCTCTATAACTAAATCCTCCTTGTCTGGGTTCTGGGTCCCAGCTCCCTGCAATGCCTCAGCCCCTTGTTTGCAGCTCTCAGGTATAACAGGATTCCAGCCAGTTGTTCAGCTACTGCCATCTCCCTGCAGGGCCAGACTGACTGCCTTGATTCAGACCCTGGGTTTATATATTTCCTAAACCCAGGCCCTTTCTAGTCAGGTGACTTTCCCAGACTGGCTGCAGATGTGCCCTTTACTTTGGTGGACCACTTACTGCCTAAGCAGCAGTGCCTTCTTGCTGCCTTCCTTCTTACAGCTGGCCCCTGCTAGCTGCCTGGGCTCTAGCTGCTGCAGTTTCTCCTCTCTAAGTGCCCTGTTACAATAGTATACAATCTGACTTCCATTGGCAGAGTGCTTTGGCATCCATCAAGTGCTCTGTACATGTAAGGCTATTCATTAATCTTAATTGTATGTGATACATGGTAACCTATCTTGGACAGGACTCTCGCTCTGTTCAGCACAATGTGGCCCTTTGGTGTAAAAATGATAACAAACA